CTATCTTCATGTCGGATATATAATTCGATATCCATGGATGTCTTCTGTGCGATAATTTGCTTAATATACAAGACCTACCTCTACGAAAGCGCGCTGTCCTAAAGGCTCTAAAAATAAGCCAAAGCTAGCTCTTATTAAGACTAACGACGTTAACCTTACGTAACGCGAGAAGGACGACTTAGTGCTGTCTAGGAAGCTACCTACTACTAGTAAGATTATAACCTTAGGCGAGCTATTTCAACTATCTACTAAGGTAAAGATTAACGCACTAATTACTCGCGAGGTATTCTACTTTAAAGAGTTTAACTCTTAGCGCTATAGTAGCATCCGCGTCTTTAAGTTATAAATTATTAATAAGGTTAAAGGCAAAACTACTACTAAGCTATACAAGAAATCGCGCCTTATTATTTAGGGTTATACTAATAATAGAAAACAGATTATACTTATATAAAGCCTAACGATCTATCGCGCTAGTCAGCGTATTATTATTACGCTTACACTCTTACTACTTTTAATAGGCATAACGCTATAGCTTCGAGATATTACGTAAGCGTATACGTAAGCCAATAACTATCTCTAGCGCATAATTATCGCAGACCTTCTTACGCAACTCCGCGATACCTACTCTAAAGGCATTCTTATAGTGGTCGTAAAGCCGCTATACAGCATCGCTAAGGTAGGAGTGTACTAGTAGTTAACCTACTTTAAACACTATACTATAGCGCTTAGGATAGAAACACTAACCTATAACTTATACCTCTTAATTACTAAGCTAACAGCGTTAGGCTTTAATATTACTAGTATACAAACTAATAACACGCTTAGTCTGTCTAAGAACGTATTTATTAATAAGGAGAGTAAGGAGCTGCGCTTTAGCGCTAATAAGAAGCAGTTTCTTACTGTTAATAACTCTATTAACTTTAATAGGTACGTTGTTAGTCTTATAATAGACGGTGTAATCGCACTACGCTAAAAGAAATAAGGTAAGGAACTAGAAATCGCAGCTAATAAGAAGACGTACATTTAGTAACGCGCACGTGGCGCTTACATCGTAATAATCTATTAACCTAAATTAAGCTTTAACCTCGCTACTACTACGTAAGCGAGTAAGCCTATAAA